TATCATATTGCATACACTTGCATACTCACTTTGGCAAACAACACCATCCTTGATAAAACAAAAACTCTAAGTAGCATTTTTAGGGAGTTTTACCCTATTCTGTTCCAGGGGCATTTCGGGTATTTTACAATGTGTTTTTTTTTTTTCATTTTTCCTTGCGAGTCATGTAGAAAACTCAATTTTGAGGGGGGTTTCTTCTTTGTAATTTTCCAGAAAATGTCATCTTGGCCCTCAAAAATCCATATTTGTCCGAAAAATCCTTGCTGCCAGGTTTTGCAGATTTTTAGTGCAAATGTACTTGGTACTATTCATCGACTTTTTTTTGAAAAGTGTGACAACCAATCCAAAACTTCCGGGGGTCTTGTGGGTGTATTTTAAGATTGCATTTTCAATTTAGGCAATTTAAAAACCTCCCGAAGCCCTATTTCCTTTCTTTGGGCAGCAGCTCGGAGAATATTTACCCCCTTGACCAGATTTTCTTGGGGGCATTCTGGGCATTTTACAATGCATTTTTTTTTGTTTCCATCCACGATCGGGGTAGGAAACTTGATTTTAGGGGGGGTTTCTTCTTTGAGTTTTTCCAGAAAAGTCCGTTTAGATGCCTGCTTTTACTCTCAGTTGCAGCAGTAGTGGGTTGACGGCACTGTAGCTGTCACGGCCTTCGTCGGGCCGCCGTGATGTCGATTTTGTTTTTGACCTTTCTCCCTCATCCGGACTCCAAATCAAGTGAATTATTTTTTGAAATTGATTAATTTTTCATTTTCTATCCAACAATGTGCTCGGTTGCACCTAGATATTTCTGGATAATTACCAGTTTACCCCTTTTAGCTTTATTGCTCGTTTTTCTTTGTTTTATCGTTTCTCCTTCGTCTGGAATCCGAATAATAAAATTCTTGAGTCCATCATGATTAGTTTTTCATTTTCTTCCCATTGGTGTGCTCGATAGCACTTGAATCCACTTTTTTGCAAAATAACCATTTTGCCCCTAGGTTCCTTTTTGTCCGTTTTTGAAACGACACTTCCGCATTTGTTTTCCTTTGGGTTCCATGACCTCATAGAGGGTCACATTGGTATCTTAGAGATGCATAGTATCTCTAGAGACCGTTGTTTTACCTTTCGTTTTCGCATTTCGGATCCGTTATCGGGTCATCTTTTGGTCATCACTAACGCACCGGGTTTACAAAACTTGGGCCGTAACAAGAAAGGATGACCTCAATAAGTTCCCCATTTCTCAACATGGAACTTATCTTGATCTTACAAATGTCCCCTATAAAGATCATCTCAAAACCATAGATGAATGGGCGTAATCTTTAGCGATTCTGGTTAACAACCAAAAAGCTACTTGGAAAAGAGATCGTTTCCTCGATTACATTTCTGCAACCCTACAAGGTGATGCTCTTGATTGGCTCCGCCAATGGGACCAAACTCCTCAAGGTCAGCGACAAAAAGACGAGCTCCTTAACAACTTTGACAACCTAGACGGTGTCTTACGTGGATTTGTTAAAATCCTCAAAGAAGAACTAGTCAGCCATACCGGTGAACTACTTTTGTCTGATGACGCAAATTTCGCTCTTTCAAAAATAGAATTATGTGACATTTGTCGTTTTCCAGAATACATCAAGATTTTCAGCAAATATTTTCGGCGTCTTCCTCCAAATGCTATGGAACATTGGCTACCCCAATATTTCCATAAATTACCAAGTCCTTGTGATGAGCTAGCCATTAAAGGTTATCCCGACTTTCTTGTTCGCATAAAACGAACTGATAACCTTGGCTATCGTACCAATTTCATTTATTGTCTCATCAACGAAAAATGTTTAGAAACAAAAGCCAAAAAACAGGTCAAAAATCAAATCAGCAACACTCCCGCCGGACAACTTTGTTGCGACAAAATTCTTCAAGAAACCTGGAAGGATGGTTGTGCACCAAGCCATCCTACCACTACACGCCGCAAGAAGAAACATTTTAAATGGCGAAAATGGAAGAAAGGCAAAAAGCCTATCCAAAAGTCCAAGAAGTATGTTAAACTCTGTAGTTGCTTTTTATCTTGATTAATATCAAGAAATTCACGAATCTTAACAAAGGATGAGAATGAAGATGATAGTACACAGAATGAAGATGATAGCACAATTACTCGTTTTAGATTTAAAGCATCAAAAGACATTGAATTCCAAGATGGGGTGTGGAAGTCCATGTTTGTGGTTTTCTTGATAAATATAACAAGAAGCAGAAGATTATGGAATGCATTGCACATGTTTAGAAATCTGAAGATTATCAAGGAAATCCTGTGCACTGATTCGGTGGTAAGAAATCTGACTAGATTGGATACCTTGGCGTTAATGTTGCTTAAACATTGGAATATTCAGTTAAATACATGATGGAAGTAAATAATTAAAAGTCAATATAAATTATGGGATATCTAAAACATGAACATAGTGATGCTAATGTTGGGATTTATATGCCCTAGCATAGCAAATTCCTGTTTGGATTAAAGTGACATATGTTCCCGACGTTTCTGAAATATTTATGTTTTATACAATTGGTGATTTCAATGTATTATATTTCGATTCATTATAGAATTGATAGTGTCCATTTGATTACAAGAGATATTTATATATATGTATGTGATGGCAATCAATGCATGATATATAAATAGTAATCATAAATGGTTCATAGTCGGTAATTATGGATGGACTCATAATTAATTAAGATTTGAACTGGATCCGCGTTAGGTTGAGATATATTGCGAGAGCCGTCGTATGCAATTGCTTCCTATCACCGTCATGGCATTTGACTCTTAAGTATGAGAAAATTATATACTCTTTTATTAATTAATAATTACTTTGATTTGTTCGGCGGATTCTTCGGGATCCTTAGACCGACACTTTGGGTAGTTATGTAATTAATAATTAGAGGGTTATATTTTCAATATTTGCATCATTGCTACTTGTATTTATTTTGTATTGATTATGGTTGATCACAAAGTAAATTCGAAGGCCTTCGTGTGTTTTTAGACAAAATGATTTATTATATATTTATTTATTTAAATTATTATTTTTGTCAAACAAATGTTTTATTGTGATCGGCCAAAAATAATCAAAGATACCAAAATAAATATATTAATTAAGTAGTCGGATTGATGGCTTTATTTATCCGATAACTAATTATGCATAGAGGGGTCAAAGTGCAATATTGACTTAGATGTTATTTATTATTTAATTGGAGTTCAATTAATTTCTTTTAGTGGAGTAGAAATTAATTTATGAATTAATTGAATTGGGTCCATGGACCGGGCTAATTATTAATTCATTGTAGCCAAAAAATAATAGGCCCAATGGATTCTCACTCATAGCCTAACTTGATATTGGAATCATATTAGATTTGAGACATGTGAATTAGAGATTGATAATGATTAGTTGTTTCCTTTTCTTTACCTTTATGTTGTCTATAAATATACATGGTTTATGTATATTTTAGGTGTGATTTTTAGTAGAAGGAAAAATGAATATATTTTCTCTCTCTAGATTATTAGGGTTTATGTTCTCATCTAATAGAGGCTCCCACAAGCCTAATTTTCCAAGGTCATTCATGGAGGCATATGAGTGATTCCTAAAGACAAAACAATTACCAAGAAGATGGAGATCCAAGGAGATTGCATCTTGCTAAGGGATCTATAATAAGTGAGAACATTCACTTTAGAGGAGAGATCTAAGGTTTACTCAAACCTTAATGTAAGTATTCAATTTTTTAATTGAATGATACATCATGTTTTATTTTTGCATAAAACTTGTCTCTATGTAATGAATCAAGATCTATGAATTTAAATCTCTCGAAAAGTTTTTAAAACTAGCACGTTTCCCAACAGCTAATACCATTTTTGTAATGCTTTTGAAGCGTTGGAAGAAGAAAGTAGAAAGTATATGAAATCTTAAGGGAAAAATCTTACTGGTCACTTGGCAAATAGGTTTGACGAAATGTATTAGTAATGTCATCAATGTCTTCTTTTCACATAAAGGTAGTTTGAGAATTGTTGTTACTTCATTTCCTTACATGTCCTTGTCTATGCATACTTAAATCTTCCTTTATATAAGTGTATATTTGTGTTTCATAATCACTTCTTGTCTTTTAGTTTTCATATGTCCTACCTCATGTACCTGATTTCTGTTGAACATCATGCGCCCGATATTTCACTCTTTTCCATTAACTAACTGAGAGCATAGCGGAAATTAATTTCATGGGATGTGTAAACATTACAGGGGTCTTGATTGATATTTTGAATGTGGCAAACAGGTTGAGGAAACTTGTGATCGTTGTTCTGTGCATAACAATAGCCAATTAGCTGAAAGATTCAGTATGGGACTTTTGTCTAAGCTGAATGAACCCCAAACCGAGGCAATCTTGGCTTCTCTCCTTAGAATGGAATGTAACCACAAGACTTCTGTGAAACTTATATGGGGCCCACCTGGAACAGGGAAAATTATGACTGTCAGTGTGATGCTCTTTAGCCTCTTAAGACTGAATCACAGGATCCTTACTTGTGCACCAACAAATGTAGCAATAAAGGAAGTAGCCTCTCGGGTGCTAAAGATGGTTAAAGAATCATTTGAAGCTGAATCTGCAAAGGATTCCTTGTTTTGTTCATTGGGGGATATTTTATTATTTGGGAATAAGGACCGGCTGAAAATTGGTACAGACATTGAGGTGATCTATCTGGATTATCGAGTCAGTGCTTAGGACCAGATGGTTGGAAGCATTGTTTAAATTCCATGATAAAATTTCTTAAAGATTGTGTTTCTGACTACCATATTTTTGCGGAAAATGAATTGATCAAGGCAAAAAAACTCCGGGAAGAAGGTGAACATATGGAGGTGGAATTCAAATCATTTCTTGAGTTTGCAAGAGACCGATTCAAATATACTGCATCACCACTCAAGAGATGTTTATTTATATTCTGTACCCATTTACCAAAACGTTACATTCTGGAACATAATTTTCAAAACATGGTATCTCTTATTAATTTACTTGATTCGCTGGAAATGCTGCTGTTTCAAGAAAATATGGTTTCTGAAGAATTGGAGGAGCATTTTTCGAGGCCAGAAATAGTTGAAGACATTTCTGATTCTCTTGTGGATCTGTCATCACTTCTGTGCATGACACGAAGCAAGTGTCTTTCTGTTTTGAGAGCTCTTCGGCTTTCTCTTGAGAAACTTTACCTTCCAAGTGCTATGAAAATTGATTCAATAATGAAATTTTGTTTTCGAACAGCTTCCTTAATTTTCTGCACTGCTTCCAGTTTATATAAACTTCATCGGGTGGAAATGGAACCACTGAACTTGCTGGTTATTGATGAAGCTGCCCAGTTAAGGGAGTGTGAATCAACCATACCCCTTCAAGTTCTGGGTATGAGGCACGTTATTCTCATTGGTGATGAGCACCAATTACCAGCAATGGTCAGGAGTGAAGTAAGTCGATTCTAATACTGATTAATTGCAAATTTTAGAGATAACTAGAGTTGTTGCATGGTTTTCTCACAAAAGTTTTGCCTTTTTGTTTTTCTTTCCTATATTGAATTTATAATTCAATCTTTGACACATTGAATATATGTTTTATTAGGTTTCTGGTGATGCTGGTTTTGGAAGAAGCTTATTCGAAAGATTGAGTTCATCTGGTCATCCTAAGCATCTGCTTAATGTACAATATAGGATGCATCCGAAAATTAGTTTCTTCCCTAATTTAAAATTTTACCGCAAATGGATCTTGGATGCATCAAATGTTAAGAATAAAAGTTATGAAAGACGCTATCTTCCAATGCCAATGTTTGGTCCTTACTCTTTCATAAATGTTATTGGTGGAAAAGAAGAACTGGATGACGCTGGACATAGCCGAAGAAATATGATTGAGGTAGCTATTGTGTTGAAGATAGTGAAGAATCTGTACAAAGGTATAACATGCGTGAACTAAAAATGTCTGTAGCACAATATTAACTTTGTTATCGTTGAAAATAAACTTGATTTTAGTATTTAGTATTTTCAAGTATTTTTGTATCCATGCTGCATGTGTTAATTTAGCATGTTAGTGGGTAGTAAATTGTCTCAGTAGGAGTTAAGGTTATGTAAAATAAAGAGTCATGAGAGTTAAGCCTAACAAATACTATGTTAGTGGAAGTTATGCATATTGAAGATTATGTTAGTGGGAGATAGGAGAGTTATGGACATTTAAATGTAATGGTTACACATACATATGTGAGGCCTATATATTCATGTACTCTAGTCAAATAATAAGATCAAGTGAAATGAAAAATATTTTCCTCCATTTCTATTCTCTTCCAAATAGTATAGTGCTGTGTGTGTAACTAGGCCACTATTTCCAACAAAGTAGTATCAGAGCCAGATTTCATGTTCAGAGCCTAGACGATCCTGAAGGCCTGACGAAGTTGATCCTATAGAAGGTTCAACATTTTGAGAAAAAACATGTTTCTCCTTGATGATGTCGAGGGGGAGAAAATGTATTTTCTTAGTGAAAAGATGATGTTCTCTAATTACAAGAGAATGAGAATCATCATGACTTCATACCTCAAAGCATGCGATTTGTAGGATGTTGTTGGAGAAGAGCCAAAGAATGGCATGTCCAACAAGCTTCATGAAAAGAAAGAAGATAAGGCATTGGTAGTGTTGCAAAAGGCAATACATCAAGAAATTTGGGAGTATTTTGGAGAGTCCAAAACTCCAAGTTGTATTTGGAAGATGCTCGAGACCATCGTTTCCAATCATAGAGGTGAATCACTACCCATAGAGTATTGGGTACAACGCTCTGAGAATGATGAGTTTACGAAAGATGATTATGAAAGTCTTGAAGACAAAGTTGTGGAGAATGAAGAGGTGTATCATGCAAAAGAAGTTGAAGATTTCGGAGATTCAAAAGTTGAAGGAGAATTTGAAATGGTGAATAAGGAAGAGGTAAGAAAAGGTGTTAAAGAAGAGATTGAAAAAGTGAAGGAGGATGAAGTGAAAATAGAAGATTTAGAAGAAGGAAGTGCTAAAGAAGAGGCAAAAGTTCAAGTTGGTGAATTAACATCTTCAGGTATGGTTACAAATTCCACCTTGAAAGAAGTTATATTTGACTTATTTGATGAAATTATTATTTCTTCATATTCATCAAATAATGCTTATTTTGTGGAGAATGATGAACTTCTCTTAAAGAAAATTGTTCCAAAGAAGTATGAGATTGAAGCCCAGGATGATAAGAAATTCTCATATTATTTTTTAAAAAATAGTTTGGAGAATTTTGTAATTGATACAGGTTGGGTGAATATGGAATTATTTTTTGACTCTAAAGAAGAAGTATATGTGAAGTTGAAGATTCATAAAAAATTTAAGAAGAAAAAAGATCGATGATGCTTGTATAAAGAGGATGATATATGATTATGTGAAGATATCAAACAAGCATTTGAAGAAGTTTCACAAGCCCTACACATCAATGGAAATGGCCAAGAAGATTGAAGCTATTGAAGGAGGTGGAATTGAAGATCAACTATCGAACTTTTGATCAAGCCCCCAAGATTAATAAGAAGGTTTTTCAAGTTACAAAATCAAGTTTAAAGGGGGGTGTTGAAAATAAACTTGATTTTAGTATTTAGTATTTTCAAGTATTTTTGTATCCATGATGCATGTGTTAATTTAGCATGTTAGTGGGTAGTAAATTGTCTTAGTAGGAGTTAAGGTTATGTAAAATAAAGAGTCATGAGAGTTAAGCCTAACAAATACTATGTTAGTGGGAGTTATGCATATTGAAGATTATGTTAGTGGGAGATAGGAGAGTTATGGACATTTAAATGTAATGGTTACACATACATATGTGAGGCCTATATATTCATGTACTCTAGTCAAATAATAAGATCAAGTGAAATAAAAAAAAATTTCCTCCATTTCTATTCTCTTCCAAATAGTATAGTGTTGTGTGTGTAACTAGGCCACTATTTCCAACATTTACTTCACATACTTTCTGATTTACGAAATGGTTTTGTGTTCCTAACTTTCTTTCACATCATCTTCTACATAAAACATTTATTTTTATTATTATTATTATTATTTTTTATACTAAATCATTTTTTGAGTTTGCAGCAATCTGATGCCATTGCATAGTGAAAGTCTAAGTTGATCTTTTTAATTTGGACAAATAGGAGCACTGGGGGACAAGTTATGAGATTCCGCAAAATCAAATATTATCTTATATTAGAAAGGAGGCTGATTAAGGCTACATTAATCATTGAAGAGAGAGAGAGAGAGAGAGAGAACACTTGATATGACCAACCTATTTTATGAATGTACTTCCCCCCCTTCTTTCCAATAATCGAATATAGTGTCATAGAAGAAAATAAAATTGTAAGCATGAATAGATAGAATGAAAATACCGAAAATAGTCATATTATTACTTTATAGAGAAAGTTGCTACACTATTTGCTCAACAATTTTGATGGAAAACTTCAGTCTTCTTCTTTGCTATCTATGCTAAGTTTAAGTTATTCAGGCAAGTAAGCTCTACAAGGAATGCTATTTGTTGGTTGTTCTTTCTGATGCACATATTATATTCATTCATGTACAGCTTGGAATGGCTCTGAAAAGAAGCTTAGCATTGGTGTGGTGTCTCCCTATGCTGCTCAAGTTGTGGAAATTCAAGAAAAACTTGGACAGAAATATGAGAAGCTTGATGGTTTCATGGTGAAGGCGAAGTCCATTGATGGGTTTCAGGGTGGAGAGGAAGACATCATAATAATATCTACTGTAAGAACTAATAGTGGAGGATTCATCGGGTTCTTAGCCAGTCCTCAAAGAGCTAATGTTGCTTTGACAAGAGCTCCGTACAAAGTCAAACAAATTTTTATCATTATTTTTTCTAATCTTCATGTTTAGAAGATGACCTTTCCACGTCTTTCCAGACACTGTCTTTGGATTCTTGGAAATGAGAAAACTCTATCGAACAGTGGATCAGTTTCGGCAGAATTAGTCCAAAATGCTAAGGATCGACAATGTTTCTTCAATGCTGATGAAGACAGTGATATGGCCAAAGCGATATTAGATGTGAAGAAAGAACTTGCTCAACTTGATGATTTGCTTAATGGGGACAGTGTACTTTTCAAAAGTGCACGGTGGAAGGTATTTTGCTTCTGGTTACGAAATGTTTATTCTGTCTTTTGGATTATTGGTCTTTGGCTTTATTCTTACTGTTTCTTGCCCACTCAATCCCCCCAGGTTCTTTTCAGTGATCAATTTAGAAAGTGATTTGCAAAATTGATGTCTGTACGTACAAAGAAGTCTGTTATGAACCTTTTACTGAAGCTATCTAGTGGCTGGCGACCTAAAAAGAAGAATGTCGACTCAGTTTGCGAAAGCTCTTCACAGATCGTGAAACAATTCAAGGTTGAAGGGCTCTATGTTGTATGCACGATTGACATTGTGAAGAAGGAATCTAGCTACATCCAAGTTTTGAAGGTTTGGGACATATTGCCTTTGGAGGAGATCTTGAAATTGGTGAAACGTCTTGATAGCGTATTTGCAATGTACTCTGATGATTTTATCATTCACTGCAAGGAGAAATATCTTGAGGGGTATGTCTGCTCTTTTGCATGCTATTGGATACGACCTCTCATTGTTGAATGCTAAGGTGCTATTTGGTTCATGAATTTGATGATGGAAAACGGAAGTCATTGCAAAACAGATCAATTCTTTTCATGTTCATTCCCCACAGAAAATAGATTCAAAATGGAATGAGGGAAAAAATTGTAATTCTACATTTAATTTCTCTGCCCCTTCTCTCAATTCTTGACCAATTTTAATGAATTTTAAATTTCAAATTATCTAATCATGAGAAAAAAAATTGATAAAATATATTTTCTTATGTCTTTTTCCTATTGTTTTCCTTTCCTTCGCTAAATCTTTGAACAAAACAGGCCTTAAGTTTTAATTGCTGCCTTATTTTGATTGCTGAAAATATAAAAAACTATTTATTATATATTATAATTTTAAAGATTTTTTCGCTTTCTTTTAAATCACATTTTCTTCGTGTTTAGGGACTTGGAAATTCCACAGAGTTGGGTGATCTCTAATGACATTGTCCAGTTAAAGAATATTTGCAATAATGAATTTGGGAGTGAATCAAGTGTTCCAGCTGTTGATGGTAGAAGTTATGTTGAGAATTCAAAGGTTAGTAAAAGCTTGTTGCTGATGAAATTCTACTCATTATCATCTGGTGTTGTGAGTCACCTACTTTCTGGCTGCGATGGTGGGGAACTGGATCTCCCCTTTGAAGTAACTGATTAAGAGATGGAAATTATTCGCTTTAGTAAAAGCACCTTTATAGTTGGACGGTCGGGCACTGGAAAAACTACTGTTTTGACCATGAAATTATTTCAAAAGGAGCAACAGCACCATATGGCTACAGATGGATTTCATTTAGTTGAGAACAGTGCCACTAAGGGTTCGCGCCAGATAAACGAGTTTAGTGATTACATTGGAGAGACTAAGGGAACTGTCTTGCGCCAGCTATTTGTCACTGTTAGTTCAAAATTGTGTTATGCTATCAAACAACATGTTTCACGGTTGAAAAGGTGCTTTTACTAAAGCGAATAATTTTGGAGTTATTGGAATACATTCTATTATGACACATTGGTTATTGGTATCAATCTTGAGGAGATTTTTATGGCTTCTTTCTAAACACATTTATGTTATGGCTTTACATTGCACCGAGTAACAATAACAAGAGGAAAAGAACTGTATTTCAGCCTCGCACTCTTAAGCATGGATTTTCAAAATTTACTGAATATGTGAGTAACAATTAGTGATGTGGGTCTACTCACCACAAATGGGATCACTCCAGAATTGTTGATGACATTATCCATAAACCATAAAAGTATATTATAATTCCTCATTGCTTTCCATTAACCATAAACTAGCTGTTTTAACATCATCACCTTTAGGAAGTTCTTTTCTATACTTGCCTTCTAAAGACTTCTAGAGAATTGTCTTGTAAAATTAAAATATACTTTTATATGCATATATAAATAAATGTTAGCGGCAGGATTTTTTTCCTAACTACTATCCTTGTTATTTGTACAGATTCGCCCATGGTGGGTATTTTTCAGCGGAAAACAGTTCAATTGATATGGATGATATGGAAGAATTTAAAGATATCCCCACTACAAGAAAAATAGTTTTTTACCACGTCCTTTCTTTAAAATCGTAGTAGAAGGCCCTTTCTACCACGGTTTTAAAATAACCGTGGTAGAAAGAGTCACTTTCTACCACGGTTATTTTAAAACCGTGGTAGACTCTTTTTACCAAGGTTAATAAAAAACCGTGATAATAATTTATTCTACCACGGTGCCTACACCGTGGTAGAAAGTGAATTTAGTTTCAGGCACCAATATGCGGGTCTTATTCCCGCTAGTTTCTTTAAAAAAAATTTAAGAATATATATTTTATACGCACAGACCATACTTTAGGGCAAATCATTTCAGCCTCCCCAATCGCCTTCATCTCTATTCTCGTTCTCAACTCGGCCCTCTCTCTGTCTCTGCAACTGGACACAATACTTTAGGGTAAATCATTTTAGCCTCCCCAGTCGCCTTCATCTCTATTCTTGTTCTCAACTCGGCTCTCTCTCTGTCTCTGCAACTGCAAAGTACAAAATCTACAAGAATTAGAACCCATCTCGGCATATCATTTCAGATTGTTCAAAAAATCGAAACCCATATCCTTCAATTTCCATCGCCCGTTGTTCCAGTTCGGGTTCGACCTTCTCAAGCTTCAGCCTCTGGCCTGCTGTCTCTCAACTCTCAAGCCCTCTCTCTGCAACTGCTAACTTGTATGTATGGGTTTTTGTAACGACTCGAAAAGATACCAAAATAATAATAATAATCTATAAAAATTTCGGCATGACCTCCGCAGAAAATGTCCCTCAACAATCTGTTGAAATACAAAAATTGTAACAACCCGGTCATTTACCTCCCTTTCTATTTTCCTGAAATTTTACGGATAAATTTTTTTTTTTTCCATTTAATTTTCTTTTCCGAGTTCTGTTTCTTATCACTTAGTGTCGTCTCGAGTGCTTGGAATTGGTTTCTGAGACTCTTTCGTTCGGATTGACAACTTCCTTTGAGGACCGAGTCATTCCGCATTTTCATTTTTTTGACACTATTCATCTTTTGTCTTTTTCTCGGTTGTCACTTTGTTGGCATAACCTCACTTTTCGTGTTTGGTTTTGCTTCCACTTTTGCATGCACTCATGATATATGATTTCTTAGAGACGTGTGTTTTTACTTTCCTAGAAATGCATGCCATTTGTGCACTTTCTTCCTTAGGGGTGTGGATGCACACTTTCCTTGGAATTTTCCTTTCTTTTGGGGTCACTAGTGTAATTACTGAAAGTAATTACTTTTCGCCTTAGGGACCATTTTGTAATTTAATTTGGAAGATATTTCTAAAAAGGACCTTTTTGCAATTTCCGGTCCACTTGTTGACATTTGTGTGGAGACACTTTGATGCCTTGGATGATGACATTTGGAGGGTGGAGATTCACCCACTTGTTGGCCTAGGATTGGTGCACTTGTTGGCTTAGATGGTTGACAAGCGTAGGCTTGAGATTAAGCCTAGAAAGGAGCCATTGATTTATGCAAATATATGCTCCAAATTTAGTCTTGCAAATTACTTTTGGGCCACTTAGGGATTATGGTTTTAAAGAAGAGTTTTTGTGCAATTGAACAAGACTTGTGTGTGTTGACCATGGTGTAAGATCACATAGTGAGTGGAGGATTTCTAATTCCTCCACTCACACTTCATCTCATTATTTCATTCTCTTCCTTATAAGAAAACCCTAGCCTCCATGGATGGAGCTTGATGCTTAAGCTTTGACCTTGATTTTTGAGGGCCTTCCACTCACCTTATACCATGAAGCTTGGAACACTTTTTATTCCTCTCACTCTACTCTTCATAACCCTAGAAGGGTTTGCTATTTTGTGTTGATTTGCCTTGGATTCAAGAGGAACAATCCTCTTGTGAGGTAGGGGATGTTATAGGTTTATATTTTGTTGTCTAGCATGCTTTTGATACTTATACATGTTGTATGCATGTCTTTTACTAATTTGAGAAATTAATGATTGTTGTAACTTGCATATAACTCACTTTTGATTTGGTATATGGCATGGCCTTCACTTGATCTTTGTTATATAATCATTTGGAACCATTTGAATGAGTTTTCAAATCTAGAAATTTAATGAATTTAATTTGATTTAAATTCCCCTTAATTGTACCTTGCTTGTTTTCCATTTTTGACATGATATATGGTATGACTATGTCTTAATCCTCGATATATATTTATTTGCAATTATTTGAACAACTTTTGAAATCTAGAGATTTAATTAATTTAAATTAATTAAATTCCACATAATTATATCTTGCTCATTTTGTGAAATTGATGTGATAATTGCAACCACCATGAAATGGACATTCACATATATTAAATTGAGAATTTTTGGTCAACTTTGATTTCTAGAGAAATTAATTAATTAGGTTAATTAATTCCTACTTAGTGTTCTAATGATTTGGACATCTATTTCATAGGGTTTTTGCCTATTTATCATGTATCATGACTTGTTGCAACTTAGCTCCATTAATGTAGTTAATGAACTTGCACCCTTACATTGGAATGGTTTAATTGTTCAAGAATTGTTAAGCAAATGATTGAATGATTAATCTTATACTAGTGGTATACTTACATTAATGGATTCCATGTGCTATATATATCTTGGTTGTAGTTTATATAGATGCATACTATGATTTCTTGACATTTCACATGCCATGATAGTCGATGAACTTAGGGCATGACTTGTGTGTTCCAAAATCTTGGTTGTGCATGGAATGTGGCTTAATGCATTACTTGTATCTTGATACTATCTTGACTTGCACAACTTGTTGATTTTGGAACTTGGGATATCAATTAAGAATTGACATGGCTAGGACTTGGTTCTAGTACGGGGGAATGTCCCTCTACAACTATAGTGCGCACTAGGGGAAAGTTACCCATGGGTTAGTAGCCCTAAAGTGATCTCAAGAGTACGGTTTTAATCCAGGCGATATCCGAGTTTCCACATTGGTTGATTTCACTCTTTAAATTTCAAGTTGTTATTCCTTGAAGATTTAAACTTGTCGTGTATGTGAAATGCTCCAATCTTGTTTCATTGCATAGATTTTATGCTTCATTCGTGATTTAACTCCTTAAATTTCAAGTGTTGTATTCCTTGAAGATTTAAGACTCTTTTCGTGTTGTATGGAGTATTTCATTCTTGTTTAGTTGCATAGATTTTATGCCTTGTTCTTGATTCCATGTGTGACTCTTTCGTGTTTCATGTAACATCCCATTCTTGTTTAGTTGCATAGATATTATGCCTTATTCTTGATTTCACGTATGACTCTTTACGTGTTTCATGGAATGTTCCATCCTTATTAATTGCATAGACATTATGTCTTGTTCTTGAATCCTTGTTTACTTGCATAGATATTATGCCTTGTTCTTGAATCCGTGTTTAGTTTGCATAGATACTATGCCTTGTTCTTGAACCCTTGTATAACTCTTATCATGTTAATCAGATTATCTTAATCTTGTTAATTGCATAGATATTGTGCCATATTCTTGATTTCGTGTATTAAACTTTTCGTGTCATGTGGAATGATCTAACTTGCTTAAATTGCATTGATAATGTGATTCTTGTATTCTAGTATCTTCTTGTCGTGTTGAATGAATATTTCTAAACCTTGCTTAATTCTATTGAAAATGCAAATCATGTTAATCTATGTTCAAGCATTCTTCTTGCCATGTTCCTTGGATTATCCCAAACTTGACTCGTTTCATATTTGTATATATATCATGATTCTTGTTGATTAGACTCTAAGATAGCTTAGGATGCTCCCTGAGTCTCACTTTGACATAGACATTAGGTGGCATAAGCCCTTTAACATGTTTCACCTTAAGGTGATAAATTTGTAAAATGCTAGGTCGATGCATGCTCATCTCCTACGAGTAGCTTTATGTTGCTCACCCCAATGATACTGGGGCATATTTCAGGTACGAAGACTTGGTTCGTGACGTTTAGCATTCCTTGGGTGGTTTGGAGACTTGAAGTCCTTTTAAATGCATTCTTGATCACATGCAAGTGTTAGCATGCTTAAGTCCAGTTTTTGAATTGTATTGTGTAAGTAGGCCAAAATGTCATTTTTTTTTTTCCTTTGACTTGTAATATGTGCTTAACCACACTTTTTGGCACTCA